CAGTATGTGGTGAGTTGAGACTGAGACCAGGCTTGCTAACTTAGCTAATTGCAAGGTTTGCGGTTTGATTTCACCCTTCCTCAAGTGCCACTGGGCTAAAGTCTCCCTTTACCAGTCAATTCTGTAGAACATAATGATCTGGCAACTCTATCATTCTGTTCAAAGAAAAATACATCCAGCTGGTTTGCATTTTTTTTAAACCAATCACAGTCCTCGTAGGCGGGGCTAAGTGAAGAATGCGGCTTCAATGTTCTCTCAAAACAGTGAAAGAGGAATTGTTGTGGTCAAATCTTTGCATGCAGTGAGACATGCATTGTGATTATAATGGATAGTTCTCTGTAAAATAAAACTAGCAGTGCTGCACGATCCAAATTCTCGACAAAGCTTGAATTTTTCAGTGTAGTAGCTCAAAGCTTGGAGGTTGTTGTAACTGTTTCCGGAAACAAAGACAACTGTGACATGCAGATAGCAAAGGGGAAAGAAAAAGGCACCCCAAATCGCAAACTTGTACCTGCATCTTACATCTGGTGAGCAGGTTGCTCCCGATGGCAGGCGAGCATCTTGTATGGAAGCTCTGCCACCATTGTTGCGGGTAAAGAAGAAACACTGTAAAGCGCTTTAAATATCACCGAGGAAGAAAAGTCCATTGCAAGTTCACACCATTCGCTATTGTACCACAAACACAGCACACGTACTTGACTCGAAGTTAAATCGATTGATGCTTCAATCATCGACTTTACGGAAGCAGCACGATATAAATGCCAACAAAATGTAGTTTCAAGGACCCCTGACAGCAGCAAAACAAGGACCTCTATGGTCAAGACAATCGTGGCTTTTTTTTTATTCACTGGAACCTTTTCGTAGTTTCGATTGAAAGAAACATTTACCTGTTTAAATAATACAAATTGCATACAGTCTTTTTTCTTTTAGTCAGTGTCTTTGGTGTGAAAAATGCACCAGCAGCTATAAAAATACCTTGAACATAACCTTGTCGTCATCGGCAGTGGTGACAGCCGTGCTCCTTGGGTTTGCGGCTTTGAAAGCTGCTTCGCCAAGGTACAGACATAACATTATCTCAAGCATACGTGAATGTGTCAAGCCGAGATGAACTTAAGTAATTCAATGTTAGAAAGCCAGCCAAGTCTAAAATCCTTCTCATCAGTTTTTGTGAATGTGCAGCAGTCCATGGGGCTACCAAACCCAGCCTCCACATGAGAAGATGTCTCTAAAAAGACTTCAATTTCTTATCTGATAGGAAACAAATCACATTAATATTTTACCTGCTCCCTCCAGCAATTATTTCCTTTAAACAAATGGAGTCTATAGGGGACTCGGATCGTTTTATTATCTGAAAGGGACAAATAAAAAGAAAGGAACGGAATTAAGACCCACCACTGGGTCTTGATAAAAGGAACAAGTCTCTAAGAAATTTTAATTAGTAGTCAAAAGGAGAGTATGTACTCTGCATATACCACACTGACCATGTCGGACATAATGAGCGCCTTTGGTAATCTTCAGAAAAGTGCTGGCTCATTTCATTGTATATACTTTTACACTAATTAAACATAAATACAAAGTAATGCAAGTGGCACTTTTCAAAGTAATAAAACAGACAGCAGGCCAGAGGCAATCAGAGATACGAGCTGTCAGTCACAGGCGGAGGCAGCTGCTATCCTTCATGGTGATATTTTAACATTTGTCGAAGGAGATTTTCTCAGGTTGAATCAACAATTTAGAAGTATGTCTCTAAATCAATACCAGCCAGACTGACTATTCAATTTACGTTTGAGGCTTAAACCTTGTAAGCCTAAAAGGTAGCAGCAAAATGTTTGCAGATTGCTCCTTCCTGGAGATTGGAAGCTGTGATCAACCTAGATTTAGGGCAATTTTGTGTAGACAAAAGTTTTTTCTTACAGTAGAAAAAAAAAGAAGAAAGAAACAGGTATCAAAGCATTTCTCAAATTCCCCCTCCAGCATAGTCACTTTCTCTGCTCTCTGTCTGTATGCACAGTATTTTCTCCAAGATATGATTAAATGTACAGCGTCTGTCTTGATCCATTGTCTTGAAACATTTTTGTTTGGCTCATTAGCAGGCATTTGTTTAGGTTGTCGCTCTTTGATTGGTCAGAACTGCTCATGGATTCACTGAGCAAAATAAACGATGATTAGTGGTCGAAATGTTAATGTGCCATTTTTTTGGCCGCGAGGAGCAGCGCAACAAGCTGTAACATAACATCAACATTATTATTATCACATAAGCTTTAATCTGTTGCCTTATTTAAGCCACCAGCTGACACATAGTGGCATTAGCATTCTTTCTGAGTCCTGTTTCTAGTGATTTGTTCAATGCTTATGCTCCACTAATTCATAAGAAGTATATTCTCTTTAGCTGCTAAATGTTCACTGGGTAGCTGCACAAACAGCAAAAAAAAAAGAAAAGAAAAAATAGTTGATCATCTCCATTTCTAGGCCTCAAGTTTGGAATTTGGTCCTCGTTATCTTGGGTTCAGAAATGATGAGTGATATATTTGCATTTATATGATATTTGTTATATATCAATATATAAGTGCTAATAGACGTGTAGAAGTTCTTCGAATTTAAACAAGAAGCATACAGATGTTGAAGAGGCGATGGTGTGTAAGTCACAGGATGACACTAAGTTTATTTATTCCATTTAGTTTTTATTTTGTGCTTTATTTTCATTGTCATTCTCTTTTTACTTCTGTTTTCACTCGCTTTTCTGTTCAGTTTATGCATCATAATATTAGGTTCACAGAAAAGATCGAGATTTGAGTTAAGATGCACCCTTTCACAACATTTAGCGCATGTTGGGTGGTTGGATCTGAGTGAGAACTGGAGGAGGCTATGCTCTCCCATCACACTGTAGCCACACCCTAAAACATACCCTGCTTTATCTTCTATTTTCTTATAAATGGAACCAGAATTTTCTAAAGGAAAATCATGCTGTATTAGATAAAATATTGTATTAGGAATGTATTAGGAAAATGTCTATTGAGGTGTTAAATTAAGTGAGAAGTAGAATAATTTTCTCATAGACTTCTATACAATCTAACTTCTTTTTGCAACCAGAGGAGTCCTGCTGGCTGTTAGGAAAAATGCAGGTTAAAGCCACTTCTGCATTGCCTTTATTTTGTCAGAACAAGAGGCTTCATGAATGCGTTATACACTTTCTATGGGTAGTTGCTGACTTTGTCTGTCATTTTGTTATGGACATGTAGTTCTCTCTCCATTTATCGGAGCTCAGTTTGCGATTACAGGATTGATTAAAGTGACGAGAGTAAAGATATGGGCCCTAAAAATCAAAGCATTGAGCTTACAGAGACTTAAAGAACTCAAGAAGTGCAGATCTGCAGAGTCTGGACATTATTCTCTGAGGGTTTTTACTAAAAGTGACACTTTTCACGTTACACATAGTCATTTGATCCATTATTTATATAAAAATATTGATTAGAGCAGCTTTAAAGGATTCGGCAGGTACACTGAAGCTGCTGAAATGTGACCCTGAGCAAGTTTACTTTGGTCCACTGTGAATTTGTTTTAGTCCCTCTGCTGCCAATTAAGCAGGCAGTGCAACTCAGAACCAACTTGCCCAAAATAGAAATGCAGTCCAACATGGCACTACATACTAATTTCCATAAGGTATGTGCCCGTACTGACTTTTAAAATTGATTTATCACACGACACAGGCATTAAGATGACTGCAATGCTGTAATCAAACCTTGACACTGATGTCTACTGTAACTATAGTTTGCAGCTCCAGGGGTGCCAAACAACAGTCTGAAAAAAAACAAAGGTGAAACTTTGTCTTGAGCTGCAAACATGTTACTGATAATTTGTTCTCACAGTGGCAATAATATAAAGAATAACACCATCACACCAGCGCTACTTCAGCTGCTTGTTAATGAACTGATACTGTAAAGAATCCCAGCTCTATATTAAGTATGGGGGAGGGAAACGCTCCCGTGGCTTTGAAGGTGCTACATGAGAGCACATACAAACTTTCTGAATGAAAAAACAATAAAATCAGATGTCTTAAATTTCTCCTACAACCCAGTAATGACCTGCAGAAGTGCAACTGAAAGGTAGTGTGGAGCAACAGCAAGAGAATAAGTAAACAATCATTGTATTTCCTGTTAAAGCAAAATTAATTCCCAAGCGAAAGCGAAAAGCGGAATCCTGTATGATTTGAAGGAGCTTTTATTGTTGATGTTGCGCACACTCTCAATGTTAGATCACTTATCTCGTTTTAATTTCAAAAGCAGCACATAGACCACGTTATGGTCCATCCAGTTACAATTTTGACTGAATTAGAAATGAAAAAGAGTACGATAAAGCTCTGCAAAGGAAGCATTTAATGAAATCGCTGTATATGTTTCCTGCTAATGAATCACTAGTTCCAGCAGATACAAAGTTTTAATTAAAATCATTGGTTTCTCCTTTAAGAGGCGAGCTTGCAACTTTTCTTGCTCGGTGAGGGGTCTCATTCATTATTCCATTATGGTTCACAGCTATAACTACAAACAGATTTTTTTTTTCTTCATGTTAACTGATTAAAATGTCAGACACACAAAAGCACATAAATCAGTTCTAACCAGGACTAAAAAAGACCTTTCTACCTTTTGAAGAGGATTTTTTTTGTGCTGTTGATCATGTCATTGCCACAGTGCAGATGTGGTCCGGAATCACAGGCGGCCTTGGAGCGTCTCCCGGAGCGGCGGGAGAGGAAATGTCCCCGAACAAAGCACGATTGAATGTTCAAAATAATCACACACCCAAAGTACGCCCGCCTCAGCTGGCCTCTGAAGTGTTGTCTAGTTTGTTCCTCTGCCAGCAGAGAGCTGTGGGTATTCGCAGCACACTTCAGCATCTGAGTGTTTCGTAGAGCCGAGGGGTTTCGAATGCTTCATTACTGATTTGTCTCAAAACAAACGTCAGTAAACAGAAAGCCAGACCGAATCAAACCAGCCGCTGACAAGGAATCACGTGACGTCGATCAGTTTTATTTTCACAAGACTGATTTCCACTGACATAGTCAACCTGTCATTAAGGCACATGATCGCTATACAATATTTCCCCATTCTAGAATAAAAATATCTGTACAACAACATAGGAGAGAAAAACTAAAAAAAAAACAAAAACAAATAACCTTATTACTCCATCATCTTTAATTCCTGCTATATAAGTTATATCCAACAGTATATTTTTTGTCGCTTAATCTTTTTGAATTGTGGATAAAAAAAAAAAAATCTTTCTTAACTTTAATAGGCATCTTAAAACTGCAGTGTCAGTGGCTGCTAATATGTATTCTGTCCAGTATCATATAGTTTCAGCATGAGCCCCCTTGAAGTCATGGACGAACTGACAGATCAGCCCAAAGAGCTCCTGAGAGTCTAGGTCCACCGGTTCTCCAAATTTAACCTGGACAAAAGAAAAAAAAACAAAAAAAAAACAGGATTAGCTGCTTGGAAATTATAAACTTTAGTATAACAGCAATTACACTTCCGGAGACCTTTGAGCTGGTAAAAATTGTTTGACAATTAACTCCTGCATTCGCTTTCATTAGTGAATTGCTGCCTGGGTCGTGCGTATTCTTTTGAACAATGGTCTTTTGATGTAATTACCTCATATACTGCCTCAGCATGCAATCCGGTCCTTGAGTGCACTTATGCAATGAGGTAGACATGTACTGCCAAATTAATACTTAAACCTGGGCAGTTAAGGGTCACTGGCATACAAATGTTTGTAATTCTCAAGTCAAATTTTATGAGAAGAGGTCACCGCGGCTAAGTGTGCTAATTGGCTTATTTCATGCTGTTGACTGTGCAGACTGATGTTCGGAGTCAAGATATGCTGCTGACTCTCTTTCCTTGCTCTATGTTATGTTTTTTTTCTTCATAAGGTTACGATCAAACCAACATGTGTAATAAAAGCACAGATGTCAAACAGTTTCCTGTGCTAATGATAGTAATGGCGCTATTAATGATATTAAACAGCCTTCAACATACTTGGGATGAGATTCCTTTGCCTCACACGTAGCCCCCATAACATGATAAACTGTTCTAATTCCATCTTTACATTTTACTTTTTGTACCCAAACAAGATATTTATACGTTTTATGACATTAGAGGTTTTAGTTGGCAGCTTTCTTAACTTTTCCCCCTATTTTCCAGTCCTTATGTTAAGCCTAGACAACACGCTAAGCTGACTGTTGGCTGTGGCTTCATATTTACCACAGAGATGTAACAGTGGTATATATTTTCTCATCTTATTCCCAGCAAGAAAGCAAACTACTATGGTTCCCAGGATTTCAAATTATTCCTTTCTGATTAAATATTCATGGCCAAAACAGCTACTTGTGGTGGGTTTGGACAGATTGAGGCTTTCTGGAGACATCTGCTCTGTAGGCAGAAATAATGTCGTCGGTTTAGTCAATGGCAGAGCCAAAGAACCACAATTTGTTCAAGTTTCAAGCTGCCTAATCAAAGTCACATATGTCTGTGTGGAGAAATGTGTACTCAGCTTAATAAAAAGCAAGCTTTGCTGCGAAATCTCTTACAGCGATCAGCCACAGCATTAAAACCACCCGCCTAATATTGTGTAGCTCCGTCTGGTGCTGCCAAAACAGCTCTGAGTCATCAAGACATGGACGCCACAGACCTCTGAAGGTGTCCTGTGTTATCAGGCCTTAGTGGCAGATGCTTTAAATTCTGGAAGTTGTTTTTCCAGCAGATACTTGATCAGATTGTGATCTTGGAAACTCAGAACTCAAGTCAACACCTTGAACTCTGTGTCATGTTACTTGAACCAATCCTGAGCAATGTTTGCAGCATGGCAGAGGGCTTTATCTTGCTTAAAGAGGCCAGTGTCCTCAGGGAATACCGCTGCCATGAAGGGTGTACAAGCTGTGCAACAATGCAGAGGTAGGAGTGAAAGCAGCATCCACATGAATGCCGGGACTCAAGGTTTCCCAGCAGAATATTCTGGTAGATTAAGCACAGCAACTGGACTTGCTTGAGTTCTGTGAGTACCAGAATAACCATGAACTGGATGACTGAGAATCTTCACAGACCCAGCAGAATATCACCCCAAACATCACAATGTGTTCCTACAGTGCATCCTGTTGCCAGATAAACAACATACGTGGCCATCCACATGATGCAAAGGAAAACACTTTCCCAGGAGAAACCTTGTTGCTGCAAGTTGGAAGCTCCTTGAAAGAGCAGGGCCTTTTCTGCCAAAATGTTACAGAGTAAGTCCTTGACACATCTGAGTGAATGAAGAATGATTCCATGTTAAATGCAACCATAGATCACCTTATGTAAAACTGGAAAAATGGAACAATAACAAACTAAATTTCTCCCCATCCTTCATTTAAAAAGTCACATTTAAATATTCTTTTTTTAAAAAAAAGAAAAGGGTTTCTCATGGCACAGTTTTTAGATATAATTTAAACAGTACTGTAATTGCCTTAAGGATAATTTGGCACAGATAATTTGCAGAATACCTACACTGGCTGTAAAATGTCCCTTAACTCTTCCAAAAGCTCAAAATGTAACCGCTGACGATGAGCGTCTTTGTATTTCTGCGTCCCCTGACATTTCTGAAATGTTTGCACAGGTGTAAGATGCTTTCTGCAAAGTCCCTGGTAGCAAAAGAAAGATGTTAGCTGATAAACACCTGTTCTCTCCACTAATATTACACTCTCACATCAGATGTGCAGATTAGTGCATTTGCATACTCTTCTCCCAGCACTCTGCCAGGAATGCTCAAAATTACACATTAACTGGGGCAAAAGGCTTTTTATTTTACTCATTTTAAATGACATAATCTCCTGCACGGCCTGTTCAGTTGATCTGCTTCATTGTGTTTTTGAGCATCTTAAACATTTCCGGGCATTTTTACGAACACATGCTGTACCCAATAAACCCAATTTACAGATGCGTTTCCAAAAAAAAGCTTTAGAAGAAATAAAGGGAGTGTTACTCTTTGAATCAGTGTGTTTTCATTTTAACGAGTGAGGATAAGAAGGATAATGAGATTGACTGTTGGTTGCATGTGTACCGTACCGTGGTGGCAGACGCTAAGCTACAAAAAAATAAATAAAATCAAAAAGGTTTGATTATTCAGAACTCCTTTATCTCCAAACTGGCATCTGAAATGCATAAATTGGTATCCTGAATCCACCAATGTCAACAGTGGAAGGTATTAAAAACTGAAAATATAAATTAAGATTACTAATACTATACTTTAATCCCCTCTTTTTATTTTCTGCAAGCACTAAATAAACATATAGAATGTCCTTAAATCAAACATAATGATGGTATGGCGGCTGCTAACTTTATAAATACAAATAAAGCGACAAGACTTGACAATGATGTGTTCATTACACCTAACAGAGGCATCTTGAATCAGCTTTCATGTTTTGGATTGCGTTTTTTCCTTGAAGCAGCAAGATTAAAAGCTGCAGTTGCTGAGGAGGAATCGATTTTGTTATATCATGTTTTATTGACATGGTGTATCAAAGATGTGCATTGTATGAAGACAGTCTGGTCATGGGACACACAGAAGCTGTCGGCTTTTACTGTTGAGTTATTGTGAAAATCCATCAAAGAAATAGAAATAAGAGAGGCCGTTGCAGGATGTTACATAAAACGTCTCCTTTTATTTAGCACTTGGAACGGTTTTTAAAATGATGCCTCCAGAGTAACAAACAGGGAAAAAAAAAATGAAGCCATCTGCAAAATCAACGCTTCAAAATTTTCATGAGCTCCTTCTATGTTTAATAAATTTGCATGTTGTCTATTTAAGGGCATCATTAGGAATTCTCTCTTTCCTCCCCCGTGACATGTGACTAAGTGGGATGCCTTTTCCCTAACCTGATGCTTCCTTGCACTACACCGCAGCACCATCAGCCTTAATCATTTTCTCTAATGCTCCCTGAAGGGGTTGATTGCATTTTTGGGATGTTTTAGATGCACAATTTAAGGTGACAAGGATAGGGACACAGGTGGGTCACTGAACTACAAACTGCACTATGTTCTGATTTCAGCAAAACATGGATTAAAGATGCTTGATGGCACTTTGTTCTGATATTTAAAGAAGAAAAGTCACATTTCTAACTAAGATGTGAAAAATCACCAGAAATTAATCTATTAACTGTCTCAAGTTTCCACCACTGATCGAACATGCAGGGATGATGCTACATTTTGGCAGCTGTGCCTTGTGATTAAAATATTACTCCTGGCCTGAAGGGGACACTACAGGTAAAGGTCAACTTGTTAAACTTTAAAAGGCCACAGCCACTACACCACCTGACCATTTTTAATAAAACTTGGAGGAGTGATTTATGTTAAAAACCGGGAGATAATAATGTAATCTGTAAAGATTAGGCTAATATTGAAATAAATTGGGATTTATCTTTTGAATGTTCCACGTGTTTTGAAAAAATATGCTTATGTGCTTTCCTGAGATGAGAGGACTGATACCAGCCTAATATCTGTTCAAGAAATGAAAAGCTCGAGCTGCAGGAGGAAAATTTCCTCATCAGCATGTGAGACGCGTTTCTTCATTGCTCCGTGATTTTGTGTTTAAATTAGAAGCAGATAGCAGTTCGTGCATATGATGTTTTGCTTTAATGTAAGTTTAGCCCACTTTTTGCACTTTTGATCCAGCCGTGTTCTCTGCTCGACCCAATGCAGATCGGCAGCGAGGATGCCGCTCCAAGGCCTTGTCTTCGACTGACCCGACTTCTCCGCCCAAATTAGATGCTAACCTGCTAGCCCTCCTGACAGGGAGTGGCCCGCCTCCGAGAAAGGTGATATTTGCAGGAAAACTGGCTCATTGGTTTCTGAGCTGCACTCTGCGATTACTTTAACTGGAAAAATCTATTGAACCTTTATGACATTGATTAAGTTCTCATGACTAGACCTCTTACGAGCTGAGCACCAACCATGAGCTCTCGTAGGGCTAGGCCACATGGGAAGAGTTTTAGAAGCACTTTTCACTCATTCATCCCTCATGCATCGTACAGAACAAATACACTTCTATTTTAATCAATCCGGCTGTCCACACAAGCGCCGTAACAGCTCATGTTTCATTCATACACACAACAACAACAGAAAGCACATTTTTACAGTCTTACAAATCTAGTTTCTTCTGTTTTACTCATGTTAACTTGTGTTGTTGTGTGTTAGGCTGCAAGTACTCCCAAAACACAGGTGACCTACATTCGCCGGGGGGCCTGAACACGTTTTGTGTATACACAGGCCCAGGACTGAAGCTGCTGCTCTGCTAACATGTTGCTTTCGCTACACAGCTTGTGTAGATATTTTAATTGCTATAACTAACAAGTGTGAGGACTTACAAGGAAAATCAAGGAGACACAATATTTATCTGGTACGTAATGTGCAGAGGGTTTGTTGTCCAACCATTTGGCCAGGTGCAGTGGCTACAGTCAGTCGAGCTGTATGGTACTAAGCTAAGCTTACCATCTGATGGCTGCAGGTTTATATTTACCATACAAATATAAAAGCATCATCTTGTCCAGTTCTTGCAGAGAAAGCAAATATGCATATTCCCCAAAATTTTAACTTTAACTTCTGATGGCCTGAATATTACATGTAAAAGCCATTAAATGACCCTTTTGAATTTCTGATTTTAAATCCTCACCAGTCACAAAGAAATACATGAAAGAGATGCTGAAGGTCCCCCTTTGTTTACTCCTGTATGAATCATTGGAGTGCACAGGAATCTAATTGTGGATCTAGTATAACACAATTCCCTACCAGGCCTAAAGCTCACAGCTAATGCTATCATATCTCAGCACTCAAATACAGCAGGAAGGGTAAGTGGACTCTCTATGATGATGGATTGTTCATAGAGATATGGGAAAGATGAGAAAATAGGCACTACTTTTGTATTGATTGCTTTTGGTGGTGGACTCTATAAAAACAAAAGACATAGCACCTGTTAAGATGTCCAAAGTGAGATTGAGCTCTATAAACCTAATCTAACCAGGTTAGTGAGCGAAGAAAATGTTCTCCTTTATGGACAGTGTGATAAAAGAATACATAGGGATCAGTGCCTCCACTAAATCTGATGACATGTGTGACAGAGGAGTTTTCTTTATGAACGATCTTGTGCCAGGACAAATGCTTAACAGCAAAAACAGTCCTCAGACAAAACTAATTTCAGAATATCACTACTTCCAGTCTATACCATCAATTCTAAATGGTCCGGTTTTGAAGGAATGCAACTTTTCGCTGACATTTTTTAAAATAAGATGTCACAAAATGCACAACAAGCAAATACAGCATAAACCATAAAAGCTGTAAGCCAGAGAAAAAATGTTGTGGTATGCTTTCTTGCTTTTTTTTTTTTTTTTTTTTTGAACAAGCGCATCAGAAACTCACCAGGGTGATCTAACAGCTTTTAATCTTCTGTAGAGCATTCATTTATGTGACATCGCACATTAAGGGTCGGGATGAACTTGTCCCTCACACTTCCTGGCTGCCGTGACAATTGTTTGGTAATCCACAAGATATTATCCAAAAGAGACAGTATTGCATATTTCAAAGCTGCTAATCAGCTGTGGTAGGCAAGATCATTCATAGCTATAAATTGTACAGGAGACGCAATACATACTTGTATAAATCCTCAAGGACGCCAGGTGCAAAAGAAGTAACCTTGTGGGCTTCTTCCTTTGAAATATATGTACTCTTCCAGTGTAGAGTGGGGAGATAAGATGACAAATAATTGAAGAGGGCCATCTAGACACTACCAGAACAGGAGACCATTCATCTTTGAAGCCATACAAAAGAGATATTGAAATAATAACTCAAGGATTACCAGTATGACAGAGTAGAGTTTCTTCATCTCCTCGCATGTCTTTGTCAGTGCCGAGAGATCTGCGTTGTATTTCTCAATAGCGATCTGGAAAACAGAAACAAAGCGGTGACTTCAGGCATTCTTTACTCAAAAACTGCTAAACTGATTTTTTTGACAATGTAGTATGTGCACTGATGTGTTATTAAAACATTTCAGTAAAAATTGGAGATTTTTATTTTTTTTTAAAGATGATAATGATAATAATGATGACCAACAAAAGAGACACATTTAAATCTTTAAAGGGGCTGTATCTAGTATTATCCAGTGTTTCACTATTTCTAAACAGAACTGCATGTCCCAGTGTGTCTGGAGACCCACAGAATGTGAGAAAAGACCTTCCCCTTGTCTATTTCCTTTCTCTTTTGATCATGAAGTGTCTCTGAACGAGCAGTTCAGGACTGCAGCCTGCTGTGATGTCACAACAGGATGAGCTCCAGCTGGCTCCTCCTTCTCTTTTTCTCTCTGCCCTTCAGTGGCACAATCCCAAACTCTACGGTGAGGGCTAATTCCTGCTTTCTGCATTCATGTGCACAGATCGATGCAGACATTGAAAGCAGAAAGTGGACACACACACACACAGTTTTTACACACTGTCCTTCATATGAAACACAGAAAAACACTCAGAGCTCTCGTACATGTTTCTGAAAGGCCTCCTATGACAGTATATAGCAGCTAGTAGTGTATTAAGGGTTAGTCCTGAGGTGTGCCAAGCACAGTTGGCCAACATAGCACAGGATTTAGAACTTCCCACTGTGTTTGAGCTCTGTTGATAGTATGGAAAGTATGTACAAATGAAATCTCCTCCAAAGTCTGGCAACTGCTTCATCCATCCAATCATTATCTATACACTGCTTAATCCACCCAGCTGACTCAGGGTGAAGGCAGGGGACACCCTGAACAGGTAGCCAGTCCATCACAGGGTGACACTTAGAGACAGACAACCAAGCACACTCACATTCAGGCATCCTAACCGGGACATGAACTAGGGATTTTCTAGCTGTGAGCCACTGTGCAGCCCACAGCTGCTTCAATTACAACTCTTTCAAGGATGAATTATAAATATGTAGGTGGCAGACAGTATCTCCTCATAACAAGGAAAAGTCTGCACAGTTGCAAATTTTGGGCTGCTTGCAAAGTTCCGCAGACTTGGGTGGATGAGGAGATTTGCGTTATGCATACCCTCGTGGACACGCAGAAACGGAAAGCATCATGTCGAGAGGGTGGTCTGCAGCTACCATCAGGAGAAGAAACTGCAGTTTTCAGAGTGAGAAAAGGAGAGTTTTGCTTGTTGTTTTCTTCAACATTCACATGGTTGTGCTGAGAGAGTTGTTCTTCCTGAGTCAGACTGTCAAGGCAGAGTTTTACCACTATAGTTTTTTATTTTTATAAGTAAAATTGTGTAGCTTTTTTTGATAAACCCTCATATACGTCAACATTTTTACAATAAACTACTGGCCAAGCAGTTGGTAGCACTGTTGCCTCGCAGCAAGAAGGTTGCCGGTTCGCGTCCCGGTGGGGGCACCGGAATCTTTCTGCGTGGAGTTTGCATGTTCT